CCGGGCAGAAGGTCAATGGCGCAGTCGAACAGGCGATGAGGTGGTAGAGCTGTGGCCTTGCTCTTACTAAAAACCTCAGCGAGGTGGTGGTAGCAGCTGGGAACTTGAGTCAGATTAGTGATCTCCGAGTCTGTGACAGGGTGAGTGACGACACGGTTTAGCGTGGGGTTCTTCCCTTGGGGGCATGATTCCCGACATTGGGTCCTACAACCCTCCCCCCATACCATAATGTCCCCGGTGCGCCAGTTTATGTGTGGGTTGTGATGAATTAACCATGGGAACCCGAGGATGAGATGGTGCAGAGGTGAGTGTATTAAATACAGCTGTATGCGCTCCCAGTGATTGGTGATGCGAAGCTCCACCGGTTCTGTAACATGGGTTATAGTGAACAACGCACTTCCATTAAGTGCGCTCGCTTTAACCGGTTTACTCAACGGGTCAACCCGAAGCCCCAGTCTTTGTGCTAACCCCCAGTCGATTAGGCTCTCATCTGCCCCTGAGTCAATCAATACCCCCAGCTCTAGGTCCTTATCCCGGTGCTTAATCCTCACTGTGGTCAATCGGCGTGGAGTAGGAGTAACTTCGGCGACTTGACTCACCGACTGGTTGGCCTTTACTGGACAGGCGGTGATGAGGTGGCCACGCTCGCCGCAGTAAAAGCATCTGCCCTCCTGGTAGCGTCGCTGTCGTTCCTCTTGAGAGAGCCGGGCCCTCCCCATCTGCATGGGCTCCTCCTCGCCTCCGGCACGGGTTCTTGAGAGTCGCTCAGGGGAGGTTTGACGCGATGCGGCGCCCCAGAGCGTCGGGGAAGAGCCAGGTGCAGCGGGTGTCCCTCTGGGCCCACGCTGCCGCCTCCGTTCCTGTAGGCGGTTGTCGGTGCGGATGGCGAGGGCGATGAGGGAATCGAGGTCCAGAGGCAGGTCCAATGGGACCAAGAGGTCCTGGATCTGGTCGGAGAGCCCTCTCAGAAAAACATCGTAGAGGGACGTGGGGTTCCACCCACTCTCCATCGCCAGGGTGCGAAAACGTATGGCGTATTCACAAACGGACTGTCCACCTTGCTTTATCTGACTGAGCTCACGAGCCCTTTCTCGGTCTGTTGCCACAGGGTCAAAAACAAGTCTGAGAGCGTCGGCAAACTTCTTTGGTGATGAGCAAACTGCCGAACTCCTAGCCCACTCAGCGGTGGCCCATGCCTTGGCCCTTCCCGTGAGATGGGACATCATGAAGGCAACCTTGGACCGTTCTGTGGGGAAGTGCATCGGAGAGTGCTCGAAGTGCATTTCACATTCAATGATGAAGGACCTACTCTGTCCGATGGTTCCGGAGTATCGTTCCGGAGGTGCCAGCCTCGTGCACGCATCTGCTGGTGTGGCTACGGGAGGGGGCTCAGACGGCGTGGGGGGTTGTTCGGGAGAAGCCGCGGGGTTCCTGGAGAGCAAGGTGAGAATTTGTTCTACCTGACTGTTTAGGAGTCCCACCTGCGTGGTCATGGCAGTCTTAAACCCCTCCTGGCTTTGAGCAAGTCCCCGAACCCCTCGATCGAGGTCAGCAACAAGGTCTTCATGCTGCGCCAGTCTTGATGCTTGAGCGCGCAGTGCCTCCGTCAGCTGGTCCTTCTCTGCCGAGTCCATTCTGGCCAGTGTGTACTGTCAGGCAGGGAGGAGGAGGACTCGGACGCAGAGGGTTCAGCTGATATTGCTTTTATTAATAACAAGGAAAAAACTCAAAATCTCTCTTAATGAGGAAAAAAGGTTGCGATCAAAGTTCAAAAGGAAAAAACTCAAAATCTCTCTTAATGAGGAAAAAGGTTGAGATCAAAATTCAAAAGGCAAAAACTCAAAATCTCTCTTAAACGAGGAAACGTAACAGGGATCAAAAGGACGTGACAAACGTTATCGGACTTGACTAGACTCGTGACGTGAGGGCTGGTGTGCAGGGCAAAACAACAAGACACACTGGCACAGGACAAGGGGCGACGCAGACTATAAGTACCCATGAGGGAGTTGTGGGAACAGGTGGACACAATCAGGAATCAGGGAAGACAATCAGACTGGTGACACATGAGGAAGGGAAAGGGACCTGAAACGAGAGGGAGTTAGTTTCCAAAATAAAACAGGAAGTCAAAAAACAACTGGAGACAGGACAAAAACGCAACTTGACATACAGGTGTGACACATTAATATTTTACATGCAACTTTGATGGGGACACAACTATCCTTCCATATTTCAGGACACACTGTGTGGGCTTAATTGTGCCATTTGTAGATATCCCTCTTTTTACTTTAACACCAGGGGGAGAACAAAGTGGGAGAAGGATGGTTGGTTGTTAAAGTCAGGCTCACTGGGACACTTTTACCTGTGACGTTACTGCAGTTACAGTGCGCTGTGTGTGTGTGTGTGTGTGTGTGTGTGTGTGTGTGTGTGTGTGTGTGTGTGTGTGTGTGTGTGTGTGTGTGTAAATGATCCTTTGGACGGGGCCTTGATGGGCAGCTGGTCCGCTGTGAACTTGCTCATCTGTGAAAGTGATTGGAACCACCTGCCCGTCCTCTGCCGTCTGTGACCATCACAGCCGCCTCGTTGATTAGTGACGCTCTGCAGCGTTTCTCGAAATAAAGCCTGTGTCTAAAACAATCTGGAAAAAAAATCAAATATGCATATGACACCATTTGACTGTTTAATGTTCTCGCTGGAAGAACCAACAAACAGAAACTTCAGTGGTCTTCTCTGTTAACTCCATTCTCATCTTTACCTTGGATAAGGTAAGGCAAATGTAAAGTGTGACGTAATGCATTACAGAAAGGTTACCAACCCTGAAATAAATACACAAATGCAACAACTCTTATTTCGTGGTCCTAAGGAATGTCCAAACACACACACGCACACGCTTCGCGCGCACGCACAGGTGTCGCTTCGCGTGCAGCGCGGTGGCTCTGCAGCCTGTGCGCAGTACGCGGCGTGCAGCGGCTGACGTCAGAGAGGAGCGCGCCGCCGGAGGAGCGTAAATAGGGCAGAGCCGGAGCGCAGCGCGGAGAGGACACCCAGCCGGAGGAACCTGCAGGATGGACAGTCGGGACGCGCTCAACCCCGCCGCCTCACGCACCCGCCCGTAGCAATCCAGCCCACCGCCGTCTGCAGCCCGCCGAGCCGGAGGAGAGGAGAGGAGCTAACAGAAGAACACACGACAAACGACGCGAAGAAGGAGAAGAAGGAGAGGAAGAGCGCAGTTTTGGTGTCGTCGCTGCGAGGGAATCTGTGGCATTTCGCCCCACTGCCCCCTCTCGAATACCCCTTCCCTTCTGCCCTCTTGCCTCGCACTACCACAGGTAAGGTGCACGCCGTGTCTCCTGATCATCAGTAAGGGCGGGTGTTGCAAGTTTGGTGGCTCGTGAGGCTGCATGGCGCCGCTCAGTGCAAACTAAACAAGGTGGCGGTGGCGTACTTTTGAATTACTGCGTCCGGAAAGCGGGGGGGGGGGGTGGCGTGCAGGGGCAGCCTAGCTGTCAGCGGACATATGTGACAGTGTTGAACTCCACCGCCTGGAATGTGGCGCAACACCGGAGGAGAAGCGTCCGCGGGGCCGCCTCGCGTGGACACCTCGTGCAGACGCGCGCATAGGCTCTCTCAGAGTTTGGCTCCAGTTGACACCCCCCCCCCCCCCTTCCCCATGCCCCGGTATGCGGAGCAGCACAGGGGGGAACAAAGTGAGACACTCACAGTGAGACGCCATCAGACCAGAGAAGACTGTGGCGCTCGTCCCACCGCCGGAGCTCTCCGCGGTGCTGAACCCGCGCCAGCGGCTCTTTCTGGGGCTTCGTCGTTCTGTCCCTTTTGGGGCCGTTCATCGCTGTGCTGTCGACCGACCACCGGGGTAAACCTCGGCTCCTCCAACTCTCGGCCACGTCTCCCGCACGCACCGACGCGCGCACCCTCGCATGCAGCAGGCGTGCACATGTAGAGCCCTGGATCGATATCGTATCTATTCACCGCAGCAGTTCTCAGCTGGACCTCCAGCTGGTAAAACACATGCGACCTGGAGGCCTCCGCGCGCTCCTTCATCGCGAGGGCAAACACACAAGCGACCAAACGTGATGTCGGCTGTCTGAACGTGTCGTTTGTGTTCACTAGTTGGATTTATTATATATTTTATAGCTGAGAATAACGGTAAAAAAAAACACACCACTATGATTAAAAGACAATTTAACCAAAGGGTGAGAACATTTAGAACACAATTTAGCACAGGTCAGTTTCAGGGTCTCGCAGGAGCCCCATGGAGCCCCGCACCTTGTCAGGTGCGCCCCGGGTCACAGTGTGCGGGTTGGGCGTCGGTGACTCGGTCGGCTTATTGCGCGTGTAATTTATTATCTGTCACAGCGCGGCGTACCGGCAGATTAAGGCCGCTTGTTGTGCTTCGGAGACGGACTAATAGTGGGATGACTCACACACTCACAGATCCACGCCAGAGACACACCGGCGTCACTCACTCGGACAGAGGAAACCTTCACCGTGACATTCTGCAAAGCACCGAAAAACCCGCACGAGAAGCAGCTCGCGCCTGTGCGTGCGTGTTATGGTTGGAGAAAGATGTTCTGCTGTGTCGGGCTGAGCAGGAGGCTCCACAGGCTTCCATGGCTCTCTGATGAGCATCAGTCTGCTCCTCTATGATTTCAACATGAACATGTAATTGACCTTTGAGTGAAAGATGAAGCTGCAGTCAGTGTTCTTTAATTTACAGTTTCAATACTTCAGTCTGGATACCTGATACAGTTTGTGCATCATAGGGACAGTTCAATGACACACATGTATCTCTCTCGGCCAGAGGAATTAGCTTTTCCTGAGTTTGTCACGGTCAAGGTGTTAGTTATTATTATCGTGGATATACATGCAAATAGTCAAATCTTCTCTCTACCGCCCCACCGCCGCCCCCCTCATCAATGCTGCATCAGGCATTAAACAATCCAAATAAAAAGATCACGATGACAAGTCCATTTAAGATTCAATTAATCTTAATAAATAGAATAAATTAATAAATTACACTGTAATTGAAATGAAAAATGTCATTTTTTCATGACAGTTATAATTATTATAGCGTCGGACTCATGAGCCATCGAGATGCTTCCGATCCCTTGATGTGAACCCCATGCTGAGCTCAACTAATCAGGACTGAGATTTATTTCTGCCCAACAAAGCTATCCCCCCGGGCAAACCAATCCCACTTCATCCACCACGCTGTTTTATTCATTTTCTTTTGTCTTTACGCCGGTTGACTTTGATTTGTTCCGCTTTTGCAATTTTTCCAAAGAAATACATCGTTCCTGTATACTCCAAAACCCAAAGTAAAATGCATCGCGGACAGCCAATCTCAGCCTTCACTCACATCGTGATTAGTTTTAAATTGAAGTGGGTTTAGCGCTCAAACCCAGAGAAATGTAACGGCAGGGCGCAGGGCCACAAAACGCTTCACTTGAAATTCTGATCACTGGTGTTGAACTTCACTAGAAATGACCTTTTCCTCTGTGTGAACGCAGCCGCTGAGCTCGGCGCCCTGAGCAAAGAGCTTCCCGCCGAGCGGAAGAAACTGAGGGAAGAGTCGGTCGAGAGGGAGAAGGCAAACCCCAAACAACCCCCTCTGGAATCTTTATATCTGAATAGTCTTCGTCCCTGTGGTAAAAATCATTCATACTGACTTTGAATGCTCCTGATTCGGAAGACCGTTAGCATTGACTTGGGTGAGGTTGGCGTTGTATTGCAGCGGCTGAGTTAGCGTGGAGGAATGAAGCTGAATGGTGGTGCGTGGGGGCGCAGACATTCCTCCCCACAAAGTGCCCCTGAGGAGCCACGGATGCTGGAGGAGGCATTTTCTCTCCGCGCTGACCTCCCCCACAATTCTGTTTTTGCTACTTACAGCAGTCCACTGATCCCCCTGGTATCCTATTTGCGGCTGTGGAGGTTTCACACAGCCCACGGGGTGGGGGGGGGGGGGTCTGTATCTACCGAGTCACTCGCTGCTTTGTGCGTATTTCAGCCCACCTGACGAGCTGGAGTTCAGGGTTTAACACCCGAGCGCCGGCGATCTGTTCACGGAGAGAAGTCTGTGCCAAGTCAATGAAAAGGGAAGGAGGGGCCTCTTGCCTCTCTTCAAGTGAGGTCAGGCTCTTGATTCATTGGGAGGTAATGCAGAAAAACCCACGATGCCTTGGTGACCTTCGTGTGCGCTGTCCCCCCCAGTCGGCCCTTCAGGCCTCAAAACCAGAGACTGTTCTGCTGCCGCTCCCAGGCTCTGGAATAAACTCCCGTTCCACCATTGACAATTTCAATGCGGCTTAAAGACCCACCTGCCTTTGATCGTTTTAGTTCGGTCTGTTGTGGCCTGCCGGCTTTGGTAAAGTTGACTTTGCCCCCCTCCGCACTTACTGGTGTTGAACCTGCAGGTTTCATTTCTCCTTACGTTTCCTACAGATGTCCACCAGCACGTGTGAACGTACCCTCGTTGCATCTATTCAAATCAAACCTCCGTCTTTTTTGCAAAAGCTCATGGTTTGAGTCCATTATGGAAGTGGTGGTACTTGGTGACCTTTGGCTGAGCATGACGCAGCCACCTGTCTTCTGGTTTGGTTTGACTCATCCCATGATGCCCCTGTGTTCCTTTGGTTCTGGCCCCCATTGTGTGCTCTGCTGTTTCCTCGTCTTGTGTGTGTGTTCTTTGTGTGATCGTTGTATTCAGCCACTTCCCTGCATACTATATTCTATAATGTGTGAAGGCTGAAATGCTTTACTTCATACAGCTATCCATATTCTCTATACTACAAAGACTGGCTTCCACTCAGCCTTTGTACTATTGTACTATTTGAGTAAAATGTGCTTCTATTCTAGGAAATCACTTTTTTTAAATGGAGATGCACAGTATATTTTTGACACCTGCCACGGAGGATGCTGGGTTTTGGGGTCTTTTTATAGAATGTATTGACCAACTTTAGGAATTTATGTGACAGAATCTGTGCAGGTGGAAAACTATATTTTTTTTGTGTCATTCAAATCGTTTCTCCTTGTTTTATTGGTGCTAAGCAACGGTTAGCTGTACCCAAACTACCAGCTTCATGCTACCTAATATTTTATCGTTGAGTGATGAAGATGGAAATTGTCAGTCATCATTAATTAGATCTTCTCTTCTCTTAATCAGTTGCGAGCTGTCTCAGTTAAATCCTTTTGACTGTGAGCTGTCTGGACCCTCGGCTGATGAGGCCCGTCAGCTTTGAACACCCCCCCAAACGCCCCAAACGCCCCAAACCCCCCAAACGCCCCAGCTCCTTTCCGAGGGCCAGTGCGTACGAGCCTCTTGCATTACAGTGAATGACAGTTCATAACCTTATCGTTCCAGGCTACCGTGCTGTATAAATCCTCCGCAGAGCCTCCTGAGATTTATTACATCTTGTCATATAAATAGATAAATAAATAAAGGGACGTAAAAAAAAACGCACCATGGATGCGTATCCTGTTCACCTGGAGTGTGGGAGATAAGGAGGTCTACGCCGCGGCATCCGGATGCACGGCTGTCAGACAGATTGACACCGCCGGTCTCCTCGGTACCTTCCCAGACCGAGAGTGATAAATATGGAAGAAGGAATTGCCGCCGCGGACAGGCCTCTTGAAAACATTACGGGTGAAGTTGATCACCTCGGCGGCTCCACCTCCTGCGACACAGACGTCTGCGGGAGGAAGAGGGGGGTGTTTTAAAGCCGAGTGCAGGCAGATCGGTTCGGCAGCCGTGGGACGATAGCAGGGGTTCCTCCCAAAACGGGGCATGCACCACCAGATAATCTTCACCTTCTACTTTTAAAAGGGTGAAAAGTCTATTGAGCTAAAAAAAAAATGTGAATGTTGGAAACTTTCCTAAGAACATGTTGACTTAGGAAGCGATCAGTGAACTGCAAACCTGGCAGTGCGAGCGCGAGAGTTTATTCCTTCCTCTGTCATCTTTTCTTAAAAAGGCAGCAACTTGCAGGGAGGAAGCACGCTGAGTGTGGGGGTCGGAGGGATTGTCGTACTGGAACTGGAATGTGTCATTTACAACCGTTGACTGCACACCTGGAGGCGTTCCCCATGCCGCCGGCAGACAAACAACGCGCAAAAGTCAAATAGTTTTCCCAACTTTTAAGCTTATCAATGTCCCTTTGGCCCAGACAGCCAATCCCATCAAGCAAGAGGCGCCGTTTTTTACCGCTGGCAGATGGGGTTTGGCTGTACCGCTAATTAGCTGCTGGGCTGTGAGAGAGTGTCAATCATTTATGAACTACAGCTCCTCATTTATTGCCCTGGACTGTATTCAAAGCTCAGACATTAAAAGGAAAAATCAAAGTTCCTGAAATCTGACATTCCGGCCTGCTAGCCTACCGCCTGCTAGCCTACCGCCTCTTGGCCTACCACCTGCTAGCTTCCGGCCTGCTAGTCTACCGCCTGCTAGCTTCCGGCCTGCTAGCCTACTGCCTGTTAGCCTACCGCCTGCTAGCCTACTGCCTGTTAGCCTACCGCCTGCAAGGCTACCGCTTGCTAGCTTCCGGCCTGCTAGTCTACCGCCTGCTAGCTTCCGGCCTGCTAGTGTACCGCCTGCTAATCTACCTCCTGCTAGTCTACTGCTTGCTAGCCTACCGCCTGCTAGCTTCCGGCCTGCTAGCCTACCGCCTGCTAGCTTCCGGCCTGCTAGCCTGCTGGCTGTTTACCCTCCCTCCTTTGAAATCATAGAGGCTGTGAGGATTTTGGACATGACTTATTTGGTCCAATGCTGATTATTCCAAATCACCAACATTCTTGTCTGCTGGCTGACAAGAATTCCTTAGATCATCTCAGTCAATAAAGGATATGAGCTCCACCCGGAAAAAACACAGGAAATGTTGGAGAAAGTGAAAGCGAGTCAGTCAACGGCGCCGCCGAGGAACATCAAGCTCCCCGGATCCATACGTGTTATATTGCCGACACATATCACCATTAGCCTCAGCCTGGCAGTTACTGTGTTGTTTTCACAGCAGAGCCAGATGTTTTGTGATTCTCATGCTGAGGAAGAACGGCAGTTTTATGTTGTTGGTTCAGAAGACTCTCAGTAAAAGCAATATAATTCTGACATTTTCATTTTTCTACCAAAAGGCAATCGAGCTCCTCAAGTCAAAATTCCAAATTCTAATTGAGTTGGTTTCTTGATGTGTGTCTGCTTTCAACGTGTGGATGTGATTCTGTTTCCTTGTAAGGAACAGCAAATTCAAGTTTACCAACTTGTGTTTTTATACTGAGTTTAATACGTAATTTGTCAGCTTGTAGTTAAAGGCAATTTTTGAGGTTTGTTGTTTGTTTCTTTGTTTATTATCGTGAGAAAACCGCTGGAAGTAGAAGACTAAAGGCTGAAGATAGAATAAATAAACATATCCAGGAAATGACTGTTTGCTCTAGAAATAAATCCCATTCTGAAAGTAATCATAAATAAACTACATGTTTTATTAATTCATTTATTTTAGTCATTGCCATAATAAAGGGCCGCTGTTGGGAAACATCTGCAGAAATTCAGTCTTTATTTTTAGCAGATTTAATCTCAAAGAAACATTTTGTCGTTTTAACATTCAGATTGTTTCCATATGACACTTTCTCCCATCTTCTCCTACGTGTCTGTGAGTCCGTCAACGCTTCCATCCAGAAGAACAAAAATCAAGCGCGGCTTTAAAACTGAATATTTTACCTTTGACCTAGAAAAAGAAACGTCTCCCGGCTGAAAGCAGCTGATGCGTCTCAGAGGAACGCGAGACGGCACCTTCTCCCGAACGCCTCATCTTAAAGTTTGATGGCTAGCAGATGGCGCTTCACCGTCTCTGAGCGCCGCGCAACGCAGACGAGACGCTTCTTTTATTATCGTTGGTGCAACAGTAGAGATGCTTTGACACGTGGCTGCACACTACATTAGCATTAAGATATATATACATATATATATTATATATATGTATATATATATAATATATATATAATATAAATGTATATATATATATGTATATATATATATAATATATTGCACACAAAGAGACACACAACGTGTGAGATGGCGAGTAGCGGAGCGTCTGTCTCTTTAAGTCGTTTAATACGCGGATCAGATAATTGGCCTCGTCGCAGACTCTCTCCCTGCTGATGAATTTCAACATGGACCATTCATTCCACATGTGTGTGTGTGTGCTCGTGTGTACTCATGTATGCATGCGTGTGTGTGTGTGTGTCATTGCCGGGGGCCATGCAGCCCATTAGGACAGTGACTGGCAGATCTCATTTGGTGGTTAATTTCAGCAGGGTGGGCTCTCCTGTGTGAGGCCCGTTAGCCTCGGGCTCGCTAGTGATGTGACGTTTCCATGACGGGTCCCCGGTACGTGTGTACTGTATATCCGCACAGGTCCAAAGTACACTAAGTACTGCATTTTAGTCTAGTTTTCGACATTATACACTTAGTTTTTACACCACTATTTATTTTGAACCACTTGTTCGTTCTCAGATAATTTAATATTGGGCCTTTTGACTTTTGACTTTTTAAGTGAATTCCTTACTGGAAGCGGGAATATATGTGACAAAATAATCAACTCAGGGGTCCTTTCACCGACGTTTTACCCCTCTGAGCTTTTCATTTCTCATCTCTTTGCTAAAACCAAAAAGCTGTGAGTGGGTCTACAAGAAATACGCTGCATTGTTGTACACAATACTTACAGGGGGAATCTGCCTCGTGCCTTGTTAGCGGTTACTTTTAATACTTCATGTACATCTTTAACGTGTCCGAAATAAGAGAAGATTAAATAATCCATTATAAGCAGCGAGGAAATTTACAGGATTTACACAGTTATAGTAACAAGAGACACGATAAAAAGATAAAAATCAAGTATTATAAATAAGCGAATGCACAATAGCTGCAATGAAATCTCATATAAACAGCCAGAATAACACCTATAACTGTTACTGCTCAGTGCATTTCTACTGCACAGTGTTAAAACAAGGACACGCGTTTTGTGTTGGTTCCTATGAATATGTGTAACATTTAAAGGGGAAGATGCAGCTTTAAGTAAAGTGTGTCAGTGTGATTGAGCTCTGAAGGTAAAGCTAAATCACCAATTATTGATTAAATGTTAACAGAAAAGAACAACAACAGTCTTTATATATTGAAAACAGAAAGGTTTCCAAAGATGAGATTATTTGGTGGAAAAGGAGTAAATAAATATGTAAAGCAGCGAATACATTTCCAGCGCGACGCACGGGGCGCTTACAGGTCAAGGTGAGTCGCAGCACCGTTTCATTATTCAGTATTCTGGTTAAACGCCACAAACACCTGCGCTGCTTGAGATGCGTCGCGGCGTTTTCTCTGCCCTTGTTTCAGTTCATCTCCAAACTTTACAGCCCCCGAAGGTTCTGCAGTAAAACACACAATAAAGCCACATAATACACCGTAAACAACAATAAGGTACCGCGGTGTCACCGTAGGAGCCCACGTCAGCAGATAAGGGGGTGGACACAATAATAGGAACGTCAGTGCAAACAAAGTACAACCCAAAATAAATACTTCTCTTGAGAAGCTGGTAGTATTTAAGTTTGACTAATTCTGCACTTTGCTATTTGATGTGTGTTGTTTTGTATAACAGTATTTACATGATTTAAAGGCTTTTCTTTTCCATCGGTCTGGTTCGTCCACTCTAAAGCCGCGAAAAAAAAGCTTTTATGTTATAAGTATTAAATATATTCTGTCCATTTCCGATGTGATTTACAAATGGAGCAAGTCACGTCTGAAATAAAGGGCGTCGGGTGCAGGAAGCTTTGTGCGCTCTGCGTCCAGAAGGTCTTTGTGTGCGCGAGCCGTCGTGTCGCGGCGGCAGAATTGATCCCCTGAGTTTATGCACACGGCACCGCGCTTCAGAGGCTTGTCTCTTTGTTGACATCAAAAGACTTTCTGTGTCCTTTTGTTATACGGATAATTGTCCCCATCAGTGGAGGCTTTGATGCGCGGCTGTGTGTGTGTGCGTGTGGCCTTCTCCTCATTGTGTGCATGAACAGCATCATTTCAGACGACACGCGGCTCGTATTCGTAACACGAAGATTATTTGTCTCACATCTCAACCTCATTCTGAACGTGAGCACTAAGGACTTTGCTTTGCTTCTGCTTTCAGGTGCTCACTCATGGGCGGCCTGGGCGTTTGGGCTGCGGCCGCTCTGCTGGGGGCCGCAGGGTGCTGCCTGGCCCAAGGGCTCAAGGGCGGCAGGTGGGGCGGCGGCGGGACGGCCACCGTGCCCCGTGACTCCCACCAGGACCGGCGCTCCACGGTGAGCTTCTAACACACACTCTTGTTGTTTGTAATCCACGCTTGTAAGTTTCACATTTCAAATACCGTTTTCTTTGAATTTGAGCGCCATCTTTTTGGGTGAGGGAGACTTCAGCGAGAGAATAAAGCGTTGGAGTGATGAAGGGCTCCATTTGTTCGTTTGGACGTCCCCTTTCGAAGCTCAAGGCTACGGATGTAAAAGTAGAAAACATCTGCACGAGACTTGATGAAAGTTAGTTAGCAAGTTCAAAAAAAGGCTGAATATCTTTCATTTAAAGAGATTTGATCCTTATAAAAAGCATAATGGATTCATTTGAATGACGGATGCTCAACATTTACTCCTAGACGTGTTCAGCTGACCAACGCGGCTTGTGAGATGGATATAACACATATAGCCCCCCCCAAATTTGAACTTTAGAAGCCGCCAGTTGGCACCAGAATCCTAAAGTTAAACCCTCGGGGGAATAATTATGCAGGAAGGATTCTCAAAGCTTTTGGGAATGTTGTTTTCCTTCTTCTGTAGACGCTCGCAGAATAATACACACCATGTAAACAATGACGTGTCTTAAGGGTGAAACAGACGGAATAAACACGAGAAATGAAGCAGTGAGAAATGAAGCAGTGAGAAATGAAGCAGTGAGAAATGAACCGCTGTTTATACATTTTCTCGCTTTATGTTTGCATGTTTTTAATGATTTTATTTTTAAGCACTTTGAATTGCCTTGTTGCTGAAATGTGCTATACAAATAAATCCAGACGTTTGCGGGAGTAAATTTACGGTTTCGAGGGTTCCTTGTGAAGGTGACTGGGATTACGAAGCGCTCTTCTGGGAGCAGATTGGCACATGTGTTTTTCTTTCTTTCGCTCCCTGTTCAAATGGCTCCTGAAGCAGTTTGTGCACGAGTTCCTCCCCCGCTGCTCCTCCTTTTGATGCCTTTTCATGCTAATCAGGCGGCATCTCCGAAAAGGTCAAAGTAGCAACATGCTCCTCGTGCCCAACAAAAACCCGCAGCTGCAGCTCCGCGAGAACACTGGAACCGTGTCGGCGTGCAGGTGACTAATCCGGGCAGAGCTTTGTTGCTTACAGAGATGGAGAGAATGAGTCGGCACGTAAACATGTGGCTCCGTGAATGAAGAGGGTCGGCGTAGCAGCGCATATAAGAGTGGGGGGGTGCGTGGGGGGGCTATTCAAGAACGCTTTGCAACAGACACACGTTTTCTTGAATTGCCCCGCTGTTCAAATTGCGTCGCCACCAAATGTCTCTGCAGCCGCAGCGTGCGATTCTTCTTTCAATGGCATCGGAGATGGAAGCACGTTACTCCCAGACATTAGTTCAGTGCTGCGGCCATCTTAAACTCTGTTTCTACTACAAAGCCCATTGACGTAGGCGTACGGGATGTAGTAGAGGTACACGTGTAGTATTAGGTTCTGATTGGCTGGCGTGCAGCTGATGACATCATGTAAAATCAACCAGGTAACCGTAGCAGCAGTGATGTTGCTTTATACACAACTGCCGGTGATTTAAGCAAACGATAAAGCAGCTTTAAATATTTAGACCACTCTTTTAGCACAACCCGTATTCCTGATTTTGGAGGCCGTGGCCAATTAAGCTCCATTACTCATTGCTTGCTGGTTGATAAACGTTATCTGTATAAAACCTGGCTGGAAATCTTTCAGCTCAGTGCGCCTGACCTGCTGCATGTTGGTCGAGGTTGTAAAACCCACACGAACCCTGATGCTGATTGTGTTCACATGTATTCCTTCTGGGAAGAACACTATATGACATGTAGTGTTAACGCCATCGGATCCTAAATAAAGGACACACAAGTCTGACATAAGCCTCCGGCTTCAGGGTTTGCCCTTTAGAATCTTTTTCAGACAACTTGGTGGTTCTATGAATTGTTAGCCGGAGTCACAGGAGAGACTGAAGGGACGATTCACCTCGCAGAAAGTAGTGGGCCCAATGTGTTCAACGCAAACGTCCTCTCGATGGACTGCTGCGTGCCAGAATGGATGTTGCAAACATTCACTTTAGAGACGGCAAGCTAGCTAACCAACGAGCTAACCAGCGAGCTAACCAACGAGCTAACCAACGAGCTAACCAGCGAGCTAACCAACGAGCTAACCAGAGAGCTAACCAGAGAGCTAACCAGAGAGCTAACCAACGAGCTAACCAGCGAGCTAACCAGAGAGCTAACCAGAGAGCTAACCAACGAGCTAACCAGCGAGCTAACCAACGAGCTAACTAGAGAGATAACCAACGAGCTAACCAACGCGCTAAGCAGCTAGCTAACCAGCGGGCTAACCGTCGCCTGCAGTGCTCGGAAAAGTAGTCTGCCAGACGCGTAGGGGCGACTTTTATGACGATGCCTCAGGATAATGTTGACTTTCTTCAGGCGTTATAGAAAAGCAAACAAAACTTGCCATCAATCGTCAGCAAATGTCTTTAAATCCTTTTAGATTTCCCCAACGCGGGACCAATAAAATCTTATCTTATTTTTATCTTGCTTTGGAGAATTATACTACTATAAAAATGTTTACTTACAGAAAACGGGGGCGCAAATTAAATTTAAATGTATGTACATTTCTACTACTACATACTAATCATGTGTGTGTGATTGTGTGTGTGTGAGTGTGTGTGTGTGTGTGTGTACTAGCGAACTTGCAGAAGCTGCCGTCAATTAAAACTATTATTTTACGGCACACAAATCCTTTGAGGCCGAATGTAGAAAAGAATGTGACAAAAAGATCCCTGTGCAGACGTGGAGAATAGTATTTTTAGAAAGATGCCCAAAGCCCCTCTTTCACCTCCACGCCGGCTTTGATTCTCCAATCAATTGATCAAACAGCCGCGCTCCAGGTGATGGAAGGCGGTGCTGATGAGCACACTCAATTCCATCCCGCCGCCATGAGGAGGCACGTCCACAATTAAGACAGACAGATGGCGTGCGACGGGGGAGGGGGGGGTAGAGACGTGCAGGCAGAGGAGGAGGCGACGACGGGAACAGCTGAAAGCGGCGTTGTGTCTCCCGGGAAGCCGAGGAGGCCTCACAGACGTGCACATCTTTTTATCACCGAGCCTCATTACGGTGACATCCGCAACGACGCAAAATGTCACACGTCGGCTGCTCCACAAACGCCGTCACTGGGAGACCGGCCTGCGTCCTCTTTCTTAGGCGGCGCGTCGGCCCTTTCGTTTTTTACGGTTTCCGACACATCGAGCGCTCGCGCTGCTGTAACAAGCGCGATGCACGACAAATCTTCCAATGTTTGCACACAAACGTGACACGCTGAACAACCAAAGCCGCTTCATGACTCCGAACTCTCCAAATAATGGTGGCGGTACCACTGGTCCATGTTGCTGCTCCGCCCTTCAGTCAATCATGGCTTCTTAATTCGGAGCATTTAAAGATTTTAACGGTTTTAGTGTTTCTAACGAAATATCAGTTTTATGCCTTTTCTCATTCTCAAGACAAATGAAAATCTTGCCCTGAAATCCAACCTGTTTGAACCCGTCGCCGTTCTATCTTCAGTCCCTGCAGGGAGGTCCGAACCGCCAGTAAATGTGCTTTAGTCAGCTTTGAATTCCAGACGTGATCGTCCTCCGCTTCCTCGTCCAATCGCATCGACACAAAGCGCCATCAGAAAGACGCGAATGAAAGTGACATCTAGTGAAACCTGAAGCTGCGCGTCGATATCGCTCACAGGTACAAAGTGACAAAGTGAATTACTTCTCCTTTCCGTGTCAACTGTTTGACATGGTGATAAAATGCCGTCCTGCAGCCTGCTGGGAAGTGTCTTCCAATTAGGGTGATTGAAGGGGGGGCGGGGGGGTCCTCGTCCCTCCGCTGTCTCTTCCTGTTCACCTTTTGCTTTTCTGACGTCTCTCTCTGAGCCTCGAAAGGGTGCCGGAGGGTAAAGAATGGCTGCACAAAGCTGGCGGGGGCTGTTTTCCTCCCGCTCCTCCGGCCTGTAATAACCACTGTGTGTGTGTGTGTGCTCTGTGTTTGCAGGAGGAGGGGAACGTGGACGGGAGCATCCATCAACGTGAGTACTCGCCGTGTTCAAGGCAAACTGCATTCTGTGCAACACGCGCTCCGCGTGCTGCTGCTGCTCTGGCACACGCTTTGTTTTCCCTGATTGCTGGGAAGGAATTCAAATGTCATAAGGCGGACGGTGCATGAGGCTGTTACGGGGAAGAGGCTCTGATGACGACGTGACTGACAGTCTGAGGCGAAACCGATTCTCCTCCTCGCACAGAGTGTCAGATTGAACGCGTTCGGGTTGTCACCGCATGCCAGCAGATAATCCACAAACCAGGAGCTTCATATTTAGTCTATTGAGTCGCGTTCAACACCATCTGACAGGAAGCAGTGCTATTGTATTTGATCATATCTGTGTCTCATTCGAAGGGACAACGGTTCTTTAAGGGAACTGGACATATTCGTCAGGTGAATAATGATGCAGTCGGGGGGAGCGGGACGTCCCGCTCAGTCTGCTCCACCGTGTGAGTCCAGAACCACCTGAATGGTCCACTAGTGGAGCACACCAGTTTCTCTGGGAAGAGGTGAATGAGGACGTGCTGTAGGAGGCTGGAGACGCGCTGTGTGCGTACGGCCCATTGACCACGCGCCACATCTCCTTGGACTATTTGATGGAGCAGTGGGACATCGGCCGGTTAGCTGAACCTCCGTCCCTCGTGTCACGGACGCAGAGATGAAAGCGTTATCGAGGAGGAACAAAGGGGTCCGATAGGACATGAAATCAACAGATCTGAGCCCACAGTTATTTAACAGCGTCGCCAGAATCGTGCATGCAAAGTATTTTTTTAGTGGGCAGCAGGATTGAAGGGTTTATGTGCTCCAGTTACTGCAACAGCGACGTGTCCAGAGTGCTTCCTGTTTGACAAGCCACTTCCTCTGTGAGTATTGTCCCATTACGACGTGACGTCTTCTCTGCTCGCACGGCAGTTCTCTCTGACCTCAACATGACCCCAGAGGACATCCCTTCCTGCTTAGTATGCATCCGTATTGTTTTTACCTATGAGTTCCACTCAACTCAGTGTTGTGTGCAGAAAGGCGGCTTTCTCGGTGATAATTGCTCTTCCAGCTCTACGTGCTTCCTCACTGGCCTCTTGGATTCCAGCTGCGGTCCCGCGCATCTCGACGGGGAATGGCGACGCGGGGCGTCCTCATCACTGCCTCCACAGATGGTGGTGAGGAGGAGGTGAAGGAGTGGACAGAACCCCCCCAAACACCCCCACGGAGGCGCCAGAGGCCACCACGCTAAATCTCCCCGGATATTCCGCCGAGAGCTGCAAAGTTTTCCAGCGCGTGGGAGTTTTACGGCAGCACCGCGGGTCAAAGGGACCGGCTTGGGATTCGCGCACAGGGGACAGGGGGGGTGGATATATTTTCTCGCTGTGTCAGCTTCGCACCCTGAGCATTTTTTTACCATCGCCCCCAAGGCAGAAGTCGCTCAGGTAGCAGAACCCTCAGAAAGCATCGAGATCCAGCGTCTGACTCTTCATCCTCCTTTGTGTGTCCGATGAGGAGGGGGGCGACCCCCCCCCGTGACGTGTCTCCCTGCATGAGTCGAGGACGGCCGCTGTAATACGTGAGCTTTCCTTCCCTCTGGAGGCTAATTATCTTCTGTCTGTTGCTTCCTGCTGCTCCTCTCACATTCCAACCGCTCCTTCGCTCTAGTTCACCCTTTGCTTTTTCTCCTGGCGGTTTGGTCCATATCTCCCCCTCCCTCATAATCGCCCAGCTCTTTTATAGCGCCTTTGCTCCTCAGGCTGAGACAATGACATTAATCAAACCGACCCAGTTATAGAACGCTGCGCGTGAAGGTGTAGAAGTCGGCTCAGGCAGAATCCTCTCCATCCCCGGCTGGGTGCCACCATCGGGTCCATCCGCTGTCAGCGATCACGTTATCGCTGGGGGGTCCACGTGGAATCATTGAATGTTACCCATGTAGAAGGGGGACTAATTCGGCACTGAGCGATTCGTTTCTGAACCTCAGGGTTCGTTACCGTCACACATTCAGCTACGGGAAGAGGCAGAGCCGGTTAAACAGTCCTCTGGTTCATTTGGGTTGTAATTGGGTGAGAATTAGAGGGGACGAAGTTGACAAGAGAGCGACTTTAATGAGCTCGAACGACTGAGGAGCTGGAAGGAAGAAAAGGGGACGAAGCTCAAATCAATACCAAATAATATTATATTGTGTAACAACATCTTACTGGAAAATAAGAACGATTGGTCCCAGATTTAATTTGCAAACAGAGCACAATCTGGAAAACACGACATGCTCGATCTTTAAGTGGTTGAGTCGCGAGAAGACGACTGAAGCAACGGCAACATGGACGCCAGTGGGTGTTGCGCAACACCGGGAAAGGACGTTGACTAAACTACTGCCCGAAAAGCAAGATGGCACTCGATCATTTTGACTCGGTGTGCAGCCGCTTTAAGGGGAGAAACACCGTCACAGAGTCCTAGAAGTGATGGTGTTTGAGGCGGATGCTGTATTATGCATGTGGAAGTTCTGCCCTCCACCTGCAGTGAAGGTTGAGAAAAACACTGACATTTACTTTACTTCAGTCGTGGAGTTCTCACTTGCAGAAGCGACGTAAATCAAAAGAAACCCCAGAAACCATCATAACACTCGCGGGTCTAAATGAGAACTTTGTCTCTCGTCTCGTAGCGTAATTAGAACGTGCAGAAGAACCAACGCTCACCGAGGTGTAATTCACGATCTCAGTTGAGTCGTAAAAATCTTTGAAACGTCATTTCATGAAGCCGCAGAGCGATAAAGGCTGCAGAGCGCTAAGTTCATCGACAACTTCATCAAAATTGTAAAAATGAAACGGCCGGCGCCAAAAACCAACCCTCCTTTTTATAGAGGAGCTTACAGAATGAGAACTTTGTTTTGATCCGCGTGATGATCACAGGCGCATAAATGACTTTCTGAATCGGATGCACAGGTCGATTATTCACACAAAGTGTGGACCCACTTTTCCATCTGAAGGTGGTGTCTTTTTCTACGTCAACGGGGTGGTTAAATCACAGCTAATTACTGTGATTGTAACGCAGTTTATTCTTCACGTAACAACTGGAGGTCCACATGGGAGCAGATGACCCTGTGAGACCCTCAGATCCACCCGTTACCTCCATCTTTAACCTCTACCCGTTATCTCCATCTTTAAACTCCACCCTTTACCTCCATCTTTAACCTCCACCTGTTACATCCATCCTTTACCTCCATCGTTAACCACCACCCATTACCTCCATCCTTTACATCCACCCTCTACCTCCATCTTTAACATCCATCCTTTACCTACATCCTTTACATCCACCCCTTTCCTACACTCTTTACATCCACCGTTTACCTCCATCCTTTACATCCACCCTTTAACTACATCTTCAACAGCCACCCTTTACCTCCATCTTTAACCTCCATCCTTTACATCCACCCCTTACCTCCACCCTTTACCTCCATTCTTTACCTCCACCCTTCCACCCAAGACGGCTTCATGAGCTGAGAACAAATGATTGCTTTTGAATTCAGATTATTCGCCTCTGCGCTCAGTTCTTTCTTTCCCTGCCGCTTTTCTTCCACACACACACACACACACACACACACACACACACACACACACACGCACACAGTTGTTGTGATTTTTGCAGAGGACGAGGTGTGTCTGCATTCCCACAGGGAAGTGGAAATATTCTGAACTGTCAGGTCACGTTTCTACGACAGTAAACCCTAAAACACGCCGCGTACCTCACAGTGTTTTTAGGGTTCTCAAGTCTCTCGTGTTTTACGGACAACGGTACCTTTTCATTATCATAATGTAATGACAATGTGTATGAGAAGATCTCTTCACGGAATGATGCCGTCACATATTACACATCCTACATGTGGCGAGGCCCAGAGCCCCGGACTCCTTTAGATGCTACGTCGCTCTCCGTATTACGAAGCGCTGTCTCTGCCAGAAGAACCAATGTCGGATACTCAGACGGAGAGGATGAAACAACGGGATCCGACGTTAAAGGCAGTGAGTCAGTGAGCCGTGGAGGCGGTGCTCCCTGCCAGGACCGCGTAATAATACAATGAATCAAATGGGCTTTGAATTTAAAACAAAAAATTGATTTCAGTGTGGCATCGGTGTTTCCTCCATAATTTCCCTAAATATGACAAGCAATTACCATTGTCGGGGTGTTGGCAGCATGAGAGGGCGCTCTGCCAGGGTTCCGCCTTTGAGGGTTTGCTTCCTCAATTCAATACGCAATTTCAGATTTCTCTGAAGCTCTTTGCCGACATCCACTCGGCACATAAAAGGCAACAGACATCGTGATCTGAGCAAACTTCTGCCTGCCAGAATCCCACAGAGGAAAAGTCCCCAGAAATAAACTCACGGACTCCCACGATTGTCTGATCATTGTCATGGAACCGGAATCTATTTTTAAAAGTGAGTAATGCTCCCCGAGGCCCTTTGGAACGCATGAAGATTAATGAGAATGTTGTTGTGGGTGTAATTTAATGCCAGACAGGGAGGGAAAAAGACACCGTTGGCTACGCAGGTGGGTTGCTTTTTCTCAGAAATATTTCTTCGGAATTATATTGCTGAATAATTTATTATCCAACAAATTTAAATGTAAAATGGTTTGAGCGGCCAGCTACCGGGGGAGAGAGCGCAGCTGCAACAACAGCAAAGCCGCCGCCAGGGCTCCTTCGTTTCCGAGTGAAGATCGTGCAGGTGTCCAAAAAGGTGACCAGAATGATGCATGTGTAATGTGATGAGGTCACGGCTTGTGAAGGACTGGAGTCGGGTCAGAGGTGGGGGGTTATTTTGGTTTATCGGCACAATCATAAGATTAATTACGGTGTCAGATGTTATATCCCTCCATATTACCAGATTTCTTTCCTCATAATTAAAACCCCCCTCTGGGCCGGAGAGGTCACGCTTCTTCTAAAAGTTTTTTGCTCAACTTGTTCTGATGAGGGCAGCGTTATTAAACAGGAAACATTCACCTGCAGTTAATGGA